TCCCATAGAAGTTGAAGCTCTTCCAATCAACTTCCTGCTCAGGCAGGAAACCCTTTACCACAGCTTAATTGCCTGGAGAAAGGGACAGAAAGACTCTTTTATGGGAGTGCTATACCTGAAAAGATAAGTAGGGTCAAGCTTCTACCTTTAAGCTTCTTTCTCTTGCAAAACTAAGTGTTCATGAATTGTCTTGCACTCCTAAGATTTGACTTCTGTTTGCCTATTGTTCTCCCCTCTCTTCTCGCTTTTTGCATACGAAGCTTCTGCTTTGTTTCCACAGCGATGAGTGCATGCTTGAGACGCCTGAATGAATAGATTAGGCACATAGAACATCTAGCATGGACCTCTTGATAGAAAGTCTATCAATGTGTGATCGTTAGAATCCAAAACAATTTGACAGCGCATAATCAATAGTAAAAAAAAAAACCTTGCAACTGTCTTAGGTAGAAACAGAACAAGGTGAATTTCGGATCTATGTCACTAGATGGCGCAAATTGATAAGCAAGCGCCCGCGCTAGACAAGTGTCACTGCAAATATAGAGTATCCGTCATTGAGGCCAAAGGAGTTGAAACATTCGAATGTTAGATTCCTAGAGGGGATTTGGAGAAGAGGAGGAGAACAGCAGAGGAACTTCCGGCTCACGGCCGAAAGGACTGAGGCTAGGAGGGCGGATCTCCTGGTCTTCCCAGGGTGGAAGCAGCGGCTGAAAGTGAGCTGAGAACAGGCGGAGGAGAGGCTGGAGGCAAGTAGGGCTGTTTGGGTTTCCCCGGGGTATAAAAGCAGAAAAACAACGAGGTTGAACCATGTCAGCTGCTACACATTCCTTCCCTCCCCAGATTTTATTCCATTGGTGGTGAAAGCTTTAAAACTGTTGCCTTTAGTTTTCTGTTGTTTGGGAGATATAAAAAGTCTCCTTCGTGTTAGAGTTGACTCCTTGTGATTTTTATGGGCATTTGGGGGGGGGGCAACAATTTGAAACTGATCTGCTAGCGCTGTCTTCAGGTATTTTGTTTTCACTTCCCCTATCTAGCAAACAAACACGGGATTTCCAAGTGGTGCCCCATCCATGTACTAACCTGACACAACTGTGCTTATCCCAGGACTTCTTTTAAAATAGCTGTTGAGCACCATTTGGGATGTTCAGATGTATAGACAGTCCTTGCTTACCACTCGGCTTTCAAAGTTACAGTGGTGCTGAAAAAGAAGACGTACAACTTTTCTTCAAAGTTGTGGCCATCACACTTATTTGGGGGTGGCACTGGCTTAGATTCACAATTGTTGCGGTGGCCCACAGTCTTGGACTTTCCATTTGGAACCTTCACAATTGGCTTCCAAGAATCAAATCAATTGGAAATTGACAGGAAGTTGCAAGTCAGAATCATGTTACATTTTTCTGAACAGACCACCATGATCCACTTAATGACCGCAGCCAGAAAGGATGTTGTAAGTTGGCATGGTTGATGTCATAATTAATGACCACACCATTATGTCCCAATGGCTGTCAGTAAGTGAGGACTGCCTGAATTGGGATGTCACCATTCTGGTTGTGGACTGTATTTCTTGTCTTTTTCTTATTTCGACTGGTGGGACTTCCCTGGCCAAAAAAAGGTCCTTTAAATCTTGATGAGGTTCTTAGGATCATTTCATCAATTAAGCCTTACCCAGCTCTCTAAAATTAGATCAAAAAGCGTGAGTGCACCCACATATCTGTGTATATGTATAATCTGTCTCCATCACTTCCTGGTATTTATCTTGATGACCCTTTCTATGAATTTGTGATTGATGTAAGTCAACAAGTAAATTTCATGATTGAATATTTGGAACTTGGATCTCATGAGACTTGTATATTGAAAACGAATGATAATTAATGTAAGAGGTTAAGTTAACATTTTGGGGTGTGTGTGTTTTTTTATTGTAATGTATGCTTTTTTCTCATTTTTGCAAATGTTGTGCAGCCATTTCATAAACCATAATTAAACTAATCCTTTTATGTGAATCAAAAAAAGGCCAAAGAGAGCACTGTAGAGAACTGAGAATCACAAGCAGCATTAAAATGGAAAGCAAACCAAGGCAGCAATCAAAATCTTACGGTTCCTCCAGAAAAAATATAAAATTCTTCTTTCCCAGCAGGTGACAGATAAGGAAGAGAAAACTCTTGCTAAGCAAGAGAGTTGTTAAGTGAGTCTTACCCCATTTTATGTTTCTTGCCACAGTTGTTAAGTGAATCACTGCAGTTAACTTAGTAACACACTAGTAAAGTGAATCTGGCTTTCTCACTGACTTCATTGAAAGGGGCAAAAGGTGAATTGCATCTACGTGGAGGGGTACATGCAGTGGGGGTACCCCAAAGGCTCTGCCTTGGGCCCAGTACTCTTCAACATCTTCATACATGATTTAGGTCAGGGGTGTCAAACTGCCGGCCTGCTGGCCAAATGCATCATAGCGAAACCGCGCCCATCCCATTGCCGGCAATGGGAAAAAAGTCGTGATACGACACGTCACGTGATGTTACAAGTTTGGCACCCCTGATTTAGGTGAAGGGATAGAAGGGAAACTCATCAAATTTGGAGACGATAGCAAGCTGGTGGGGGGAGAATAGCCAACATTTTAGAACAGTGGTTCTCAACCTTTTTAATGCCGCGACCCCCAACCAGTCGCAAGTCGAGGACTACTCAACCAGTCGTAAGTCGAGGACTACTCAACTGGTGCAGCACCGTTTGCAGAATGGGACTTTTGGCGGGCTCAGCAGGGCAGAGACAGCCTGGACAATTCCTATTGGCTTTTGAAAGCCAATAGAATTATACTCTATTCAAGAGAGTCTATTCTATTGGCTTTCAAAAGCCAACAGAATAAAAGGGAGTAGCACAGCTAAGGAAAAGGGGAAAATAATGGCGGACTGCATTGTTTGGCGACCCCCGTGAAATAGTCGTTCGACCCCAAATGGGGTCTCGACCCACAGGTTGAGAACCACTGTTTTAGAAGATAGGCTCAAGATTCAGAAGGATCTTGACAGATTTGAACATTGGGTCCTTTCCAGTACAATGTAATTCAGCAGTGAGAAAAATAAATTTTTCACTGAAGCAAGCAAAACTAAATGCATATCGATAGAAGAGGTTGTCCTTGGCTCAACAGCAGTAACTGTGAGAGGGATCTAAGAATCTTAGCGGACCACCACCTTAAGCATCAGCCAGGAGTGTGCCACAGCTGCAGAAAAAGCCAGTGCAGTCCTAATCTGCATCACCAGGGGGATAGTATCAAGATCACATGAAGTGTATATACCAGACATGTCTAACTCGCGACATCACATGAGTATCGGAGCTTTTTCGCCGTTGCCTTCAATGAGGTGGGCGTGGCTCTGGTATGATGAAACCGGCCCGTGGGCCAGCAGTTTGACACCCCTGGTATATACTGTACCTGTAAGACTACACTTGGAATATTGTGTCCAGTTTTGCTCACCATGATACAAAAAAGATCTTGAGACTCTAGAACAGGGGTGTCAAACTCAATTTCATTGAGGGCCGCATCAGCATTGCAGTTGCCCTTGGGGGGGCTGGGTGGGTGTGGCCAGGGTGGGTGCAGCCTACTGGGTGGGCATGGCCAGCTCTTCATCGTTCATGTCAAGGGTACCTGTGGGGGCCTGGACAGGAGTGGGATAGATCTGAGGGTCTCTGGCAGAAGGGGGGGGACCAGGGCAAGTGCCAAGGCATGGTCCACTGGAGGAGCCTCACTGTTCCTCTCAGGCCATGTGGGAGGGGGGCTGTATGGTGTTGCGGGCTGCCGGGAGCCCTGGGCAGCAGAGGTCAAACGTCCAGCCTGGCCCTCGAGCACCCATGGCACCAAGCCCAGCCCCACTTTCCCAAGGGGATGCCCAGCTGCACTTACCTCCTCCTCAAGGCTGCTGCTACTGTGCTTACTCTCCTTAGCCATGTTGTTCATGACGGGTATGAGGGCAAAGTCAGAGGGAGACTGAATGCGTTTCAGCATAGATGGCCACCACAAAATTGTACATTGGCTCCCGGCTGGCCGACTTGGGCCAGAGCCAAGGCAGTGGGGGCCGTTCCCTCACTGTTTCCAGGATGGCTTTGCGGGCCACATGAAACCACTTCGCGGGCTGCATCCGGCCCCCGGGCCTTGTGTTTGACATGTCTGCTCTAGAAAGTGTGCAGAGGAAAGCCACAAAAAATTAGGGACTGGATACTAAAATATAGGCTAGGTGTGACATGAGAGTAGTCTTTCAGGAGAGAGGGGGTTGGCCTATTATCAGAGTGCCTGAGAGCAGGACAGGAAGTAGCAGATGGAAACTTATCAGAAAGAGATTCAATCTAGAGTCAAGGAGAAAGTTCCTGTCCATGAGAACAATTAATGAACAACTTGCCTCCAGAAGTTGTGGGTGCTCCACCAGTGGAGGTTTTTAAGAGGAGACTGGACAGCCATTTGTCCAAAATGGTATAGGATCTCCTGCTTGGGAGAGTTGGACCCTTCCAACTCTTATTCTGTAATTCTGTAAAAAACTTTATCAACTTTCAGGGATCACCCAGTAGCTAATATTCAAAAGAGAAGTAGTGTCACATTTCACTTGGCCCAGTTGCAAAGTTCAGTTGCTAGGCATCGCAAATGACTATAGATAGCATGTAATCAGTGAAAACATCTTGCAAGCAGGACAAGCGGGTTTTTCTGCCTCCTTATTGTGAGATGGCGGCCGGATAGGCAACATCTGTGCCCAGCAAGCTGACAGTATACAGCAATGTTTCTCAGCCTTGACCATTTTAAGGCATGTGGACTTCAACTCCCAGAATTCCACAGCCAGCATTGCTGGCTGTGGAATTCTGGGAGTTGAAGTCCACATGCCTTAAAATGGTCAAGGTTGAGAAACACTGGTATACAGTAATAGCACCATCTGTGGTTGAGTTGAAAGGAGTTAAGACCATCGAGTACCGTGATGCTAGAAAGGAGGGGAGGGGAGGAGAGGAGAAGCAGGGAGGAACTTCCTCTACCGGATCATTCACTGGGAGGAAGGTGGTGGGTCGAGTGGCTTTTGTGCTCTTCCCTGGGCCGAAGCAGCAGCTGGAAGGTGAGTGGAGGAGAGGTCAGAGAAGACGCTGGGAGCGAATAGGGCTGTTTGGTTACCCCTCACGGCGTAGAATCCGAGGAGCAACTAAGGCACAGAATACGATGTAGAATACTAGAGTTGGAAGGGACATTGGAGGTCATCTAATCCAACCCCCTGCTCAGGCAGGAAACCCTCTATACCAGTTCAGACAAATGGCTGTCCAGTTTCTTCTTAAAAGCCTCCAATGATGGAGCTCCCACAACTTCCGCCACTAGTTAATTGTTCTCACTCTCAGGAAATTTCTCCCTGTTTCTAGGTTGCTTTTCTCCTTGATTAGTTTTCATCCATTGTTTCTTGTCTTTCTTAGGAAAATTGGTTGAAGCCGTTCTTCTTTATGGCAGCCCTTCAAATATTAGGACACGGCTATCATGTCACCCCTAATCCTTTTCAGTAGTGTAGACATGCCCAATTCCTGCAACCTTTCTTCATATAAATATAAATCTTTATTGATTAGCCCTTGGGCCATATCAAAGTGCAAAGTTCCAGCAACAAATTATTACTAAAGTTTGATAAAAGCAATTTAAAATGAAATTTGATAAAATGCAGTTTAAGATGGAATTAGAGTAAAATATGACTTAAAATGAAATTGGAATAAAATACAGTCTAAAATGAAATTAAAATAGAGTACAGTAATTTAAAATATAGATAAAATATGATAAAATTATATCTTTGCAATCTACCCCAATCAGTCCCACATATGCAGATCTCAACCAAACCATTTTGTTTAAATACTGTGCTGCATTAAATGTTATTTTCAAGTTCTGGCTGCACGTTCTTCATATGTTTTATCCTCTAACCCCCAGTCGTGGTTGTTACTCTTTCATTTCTTCTCTGTTAGTAAGTACAGGTAGTCCTCAACTTACAACCGTTCATTTAGTGACCGTTCAAAGTTACAACAGCACTGAATAAAGTGGCTTATGATCATTTTGCTCCCTTACGACCGTTGGAGCATCTCCATGTTTACTTGACTGACATCCAAATGCTTGACAGCTGACATACATTTATGACAGTTCCAGTTTCCTGGAGTCACATGATCCCCTTTTGCGTCCCTCTGAAAAGCAAAGTGGATGGGGAAACCAGATTCACTTAACAACTGTGTTGCTAATTTAAGAACTCCAGTCATTCATTTAAGAAATGTGGTGAGAAAAGTCTTAAAATGGGGCAGAACTCACTCAATAAATTTCTCATTTAGCAACTTAATTTTTGGGCTCCATTCTGGTTGTAAGTTGAGGACTGTGCGCATTATGTCTAGTATAGCTGGCCTTCTAATTCCCTCTTCTACCTTTTGGATGACAAAATTGTCAGGTCCATCAGGAATCTTTAAGAAGAGACTGGACAGCTATTTGTCCAGAATAGTATGGGGTCTCCTGCCAGAGCAGGAGTTAGACTAGAAGATCTGCAAGATCCCTTCCAACTCTGTTGTTCTGTTAGGGACCTGCTGGTTTTTTGGGTTGTTTTTTTTTTTGCAATAATAATGGACTGATATGCCACTGGTCTCATCTGGGATTTTGGTTTTTTTTTTACTTTCATGTCTAGCTAACAAGCTTGATATTTCCTATTGGTGCCCCATCTGTGTATTAACTAGTTCAATTATGCTTAACCCAGCACTTTCTAAAAAAATATATAGCTATTGACCTTTTGGGATGTTCAGTGGTATAGATACTCCTCACTTACTGTGTGTTTCATGAGTCTCAAAATAACAACATAAAAGCAGATGTACACCTGGTCCAGAAATTTGTGACTATCGGTGTCTGTACTTCAGCACTTCCTGTGGTTATGAAGATGCAGGAAAAGAAATTGCCCCAACTGGTTGCAGCATCCCACAACTTATCACCCCCATTTATGATCTTCCCAGCTCGCTACTCACAAACAAAATCAGTGGGGATGTTGGCAGGCAATTGCAAGCCAGGTCATGTGAAATTGCCTTTAACAAGCCATGGTGATTTGCTTGAGAAATGCAGAGGAACAGATGTAAGTTGGCACTGCCTGTGACTTCATGCTTAATGATCGAGCTGCTTAGTGACACTGATGCCAGTCCCAAATGCAATCACTAAGTGAGGATTATTGGAATCGGGTGTCACCACAGTGGTTGTGGAAAGTATTTTCTGCCCTTACTTGGAGCTGAGGACTTCCAGGAGCAAAGCTGGTGCTTCAAATCTTGCAGAGGCTTTAGGCATCGTTTCATCAGTTAAAGCCCCCCCCCCCATCTTTAGAATTACCTCAGAAGGTGTGACTGTAATTGTATTGGGACACTTTTCATGCTGAAAACACATGGATTTTCCACATATATACATTTGTAGGTGTGTGTATTTGTATTTCTGTCTATATGCATATATCTATAATTCTAAAATCTATCCCCAGCACCAGATATATTTCATAAGCTTTTGCAGTGCTAAGAATTTTTTTTCACACATAATGTATTACTTTATCAACCTATAAAATACAAAAGTGTAAAGAAAAATGAAAATAAGTGTAAAATAAGGGAGGAAAGGGGGAAGAGAGAAAAGTATAGAGTAAAGGGGAAAAGAAGCATTGACTTCTGACTCCTTTTAATGCAGTAAGATAAGGTACTAACATAATACCTCAGCTTTTTAGTTTTATATAATAATGTGTATTAGCCATTTCTGTAACAACAAACTTACCTAATCAAAAAACCCTAAAATCAAAGTTTCATTTTTTTCTACCTCAAGCACAAAATCCAAACGCAGTTTCCACACAGAATCAAAATTAATTGTATTCTTTTCTTTAATCAGAACAGTTGTTTATCCATCTCTGCTAACTCCATCACCTTTTGCAGCCATTTATTGTGGGAATCAAAGTATCCTTCCATTTTTGTGCATAAATTATTCGTAGTGCCATCAACATATATATAACTCAAAGTTCCATTTTTTTTCTTTATCCATTACGCCTAGAAGAAATCTCTCTGTTTGTATCTTTATATTCACTTTAAGAACCTTCTGTATTAAGATGTGAATCCTACTCCAATATTTCTTTGTCCACCATAAATGATAATATAGCACAGAATAACAGAATTGGGACCTTGGAGGTCATCTAGTCCAACCCTCTGCTCAGGCAGGAAACCCTATACCATTTCAGACAAGTGGCTGTCCAGTCTCTTCCTAAAAGCCTTCAGTGATGGAGCATTGGTAACATCTGAAGGCAAGCCGTTCTACTGGTTAATTGTTCTCACTGTTAGGAAGGTGCTTTTCCGCGAGGCAACTAGACTTTCTTGTTTTTCTTTGAAGAAATTTTGCTTCTTCAGCTCTGAAGAATGTCTCCAAAGAAAAACAAGAAAGTCCAGTTGCCTCAGGAAAAAGCACCTTTGGGACAACCATGAGCTGGATGACTGAGAATCTCCATAGTTACTGTTAGGAAGTTTTTCTTTAATTCCAGGTTGCTTCTTTCCTTGAGTAGTTTCCAACCATTTCTTCCTGCCTTCTGGTGCTTTGCTCACCACCCTCATCTTTGTGGCAGCTCCTGAAATACTGGAACACTGCTATAATATCTTCCTAGTTCTTCTTTTCACTAAACTAGACATACCCAATTCCAGCAATTATTCTTCATATGTTTTAACCCCATGGTGGCGAACCTATGGCACACGTGCCACAGGTGGCACGCAGAGCCCTCTCTGTGGGCATGCATGCTGTCGCCCCAGTCCTAGGCCTTCAGCTGGGTTTTATAAAACCTTTTTGCTTTAGGCCTCTGCCACCATGTGCAAAAAAAAAAAAAAAGTTCAATCAATTTATTTCAACTTTTTGCGGGGAAAAAAAGATCTCGCAAAGTTGGAATTGATTGATTGAACTTTTTAGTCCCACCCAGTCTGCCATTACCACTGCAGCCATGCCTACCCAATGGCCATACCTACCCAATGGACTATGCCCATTCGGCACCCGACGATACATAAGTGGTTTTGGGTTGCAGTTTGGGCACTCGGTCTCTAAAAGGTTCGCCATCGCTGTTTTAGCCTCAAGCTCCCTAATCATCTTTGTTGCTGTTCTCTGTACTTTTTCCAGAGTCTCAACATCTTTTTTCATATTGTGGACATCCAAACTGAATGCAGCATTCCAACTGTGGCAATACTAAGGCTTTATAAAGCAGTACTAACACTTAATGTGATCGTGATTCTATCCTTCTCTTAATGCAGCCTAGGATTGCCTTGGCTGCCGCACACGGTTGGCTCATATTTAAATGATTGTCCACTCAGACTCCAAGATCCCTCTCAGAGTTATAGGCATTGAGCCATGTTTCACCTGGTCTATACCTGTAAAAACTGTTTTTCTTGCTGAAGTGTAGAACCTTACTTTTATCTCCATTAAATTTCATTTTGTTGGATAGGGCCTAGTGTTCATGTCTGTCAAAATCCTTTTGGATTTTGAGCCTATCTTCTGTGGTGTTGGTTATTCCTACCAGCTTAGTGTCATCAGCAAATTTGATAAGTTCCCTTTCTATTCCCTCATCTGTATTGTTTATAAAGATATTGAAGAGTACCAAATGGCCTAAAGCAGTGTTTCTCAACCTTGACAATTTTAAGGCATGTGGACTTCAACTCCCAGAATTCCACAGCCAGCATTGCTGGCTGTGGAATTCTGGGAGTTGAAGTCCACATGCCTTAAAATTGCCAAGGTTGAGAAACACTGGCCTAAAGTGAAACCTTTGGGTACTCCACTACTTCCTTCCTTCCATACGGATGTAGTTCTGTTGAGAACTATATGCTGACTAACTACAGTTTGCCAACCGGTTGCAAGTACGTCTGGTGGTGATGCCGTCTATCCTGCATTTTTCTAGCTTACCAAGAAGTAGCTTGAGCTCTACTTTCTCGAATGCCTTACTGAAATCTAAGTATATTATGTCTACAGCATTTTGCTGATCCACTGATACGGTCACTTTGTCAAAGAATGAGATAAGATTTGTTTGGCACGATCTGTTTTTGATTAAACCTATGTTGGCTTCTGGCTATAACT